GCAGTTACTTCAACTTTGTTATAATACTACTAACAGTAGACCATGGAATATTTAGTAGAAAGGAAATTTCGCGGATGGAGTTGCACAGGTGGCAACCTATCACCGTTCCACGCTTGAATTCACTGAGCTCCTGAGAGCGACCCATTCTTTCACAAATGTTTCTAGACACTATCTGCATGCCAAGGTGCTTGATTTTATACACCTGTGGCCAGGGAGGTGACTGGTACACCTGAATGCAATGATTTGGAGGGGTGTCCCAATACTTTTGCCAATATAGTGTATATATAGCACCTCCCCTGAGCCCCCCCTTCCCATTGGGAAAGAGAACCCCCAGCATCGAGGAAGGCTGACATGGCTGTAGAGAAGGATTGAAAATGATGTTGGGTGCCAGTCACTTTTTTGTCTTTTCAGAGATGTTTTATTTACTCCAGGCTCACGGGGGAGAGAGTTATGGCTTCAGATACCTCCAGCTGCATATTTTCCAGACTCTGACCCCACTCCTGATCTGTCAGTACAAAAAGAGACAGAGGATGCAAGGCTAATTGCTTGTCTATTAGTTGGGATTGCATCCGGCAAGGCTGCCCAGTGCAGTCCAATGCATATGGTGTGAACCAGCTCTCATGGAAAAGTGTGCTTACCTTCAACCTTTAAATTGGTGACAAGGTCTCTTTAAGTGTTAGGTGTTCATGTAAGCTTTGGAGGGGTGCAATAAGGCAGAGGATCACTTCTTTTTTATTAAGGAGAACCAGAGGCATTGTGCCATCAACTTCCAATGCTGTCAGTGAAGAATATTACCTTTTTTGTATCACTCAACTCTTCCTCCTAGATTGTAAACTCTAACAAGCAGGGCCCTCTGTTTCCTCTTGTACTAAATTGTATTGTAAATGTAATGTCTACCTTCATTTTGTAAAGCGCTGTGCAAACTGTTGGCACTATATAAATTCTGTATAATAAGAATAAAAAATAATAATATTGCATTTAGCCATGCTAACCCCTCATGCATGAACTGTTAATACTCCACACGTTTCTAATATTCCTTATAGATTGAGCTGACATCTTTATGTCAGCTCAGTCTATAAGGAATATTGCTAAATTTTTGTACTCCAACTATATGAAGGGTTAAAAGCACCAAGCTAATGTTAAATAGATTATATAACATCTCACTTGCCTCCTATTTTAATCCACGGTTCTTTAATCACATACGCACAGCAGATCAAAGGAGCCTCGATCAGACAGGAAAAGACAAGAGAAGGGATAAAACTCATAGAACTTTGTAGTAGTGAACATCCATGAGTGACTGGCACTGAACTCCAGGCACTGCAGGGGTTGGATTGCCATAGGATCCTGTTCTACTTCCACAGCCCTGATTTCCGGAAATATCTGTCAAACTCAGTGGGGGCTCAGAGAATTCAAAAGGCTGTTTTTGTGTGTTTAATGAGACACATGTTTTAAATAAAACAATTGTTTCCTCATATTTAAAATAAAATGGCCTGTTTGGTAGATGTTGGAGAGTTAACACAACTAAACCCAAAAACAAAAATACAAAAATGTAATATATTGTAGCTTATTAATTGCTGGATGTGTTAGCTGCATTAGTTTTTTCAAGCTTTTAATCCTTTATTTGGCCCTGGTGATCAACCAGTAAACACACCTCCTGTTTTAGGATGGCTACATTTGCTCCTCCAGTATATCTATGGAGGAGCACCATAGCCTTGTCATTGTTAATGGAATTGTCAATCAGTGAAATGTTATATCGACTGGTAGATTTAGATGAACTTTAAGTAACTAACAAATTAAAGCTGAACTCCAGCTAACACTTACTTCGCTGAATGCATACTGGTGTATTAAAAAGTTTCTCTTAATGCTAATTCACCTGCCAGAGCTTTTCAGCATATCACATTTATGCACATAAATCACATGTGTTTATGCACATTTTATACACGTTAACAAGCATTTTTATCTTAAATGCTTCAAATGGTCATATACAACTCTCAAAAGAAAATATTTTGAATAATATATGCAAATTTGATAAACTCAGCATCAACTTCATGATATTAAGGAAAAGACAATTAAGAGAGCTGGAGGAGAAGGGAATTAGGCATCTGTACTGGTCACATCCCCTCTGTCTAGTCATCTATCAACTGGATACTTCTCCATAATGTATGGACAGCTCTGAAGATATCTACACAAGTTCTTCAACTTCACCCAGTTGTCCATCGCCACATTCCATACCCTACTTGAGAGGATGCGGCCCAGACTAACCCATATGGATACAAATATGCAGAGTGTTTCACTTGAAAAACCTTTCCTGGTCACATTCAGGTATGTAGTAATCATAAGTTTTAATCATGTGAATGTAAATATAACCTATGTATGTATTTGCCATGTATCTCTGAAGTACAATGCACAATGCATTGTAGAGTATCAACTATAGTATGCAGATTGTAGGCTAGCAAAAAGTGTGTATATTATTATTATTATTATACAGGATTTATACAGCGCCAACAGTTTGCTTGGTGCTTTACAATATAACAGGAGACAATACAGCAACAATACAGTTCAATACAAGAGGGAAAGGAGGGCCCTGCTCCTTGGAGCTTACAATCTAGAAGAGTGGTGGGCAATGTGTAGCATACCATGTTGTGCAAACTTTTTGTTGCACTTTGCTTAGTTGTTGACAGTATTCATCACTATTCATTTTTTTACAGATTTATGGTATCTGGACAGAGTTTTGCATCCCTACCACACTATTTTCTACTGAGTGTTGGCACAATGGGAAAGGTGACATGAGAAATATGTTTGATGCTATGGGAGGAACTGAATCAGGTCATAATACCCAAGCCAACAGTGAAGCTCTGGGAAGAGTTTGCAAAAGAGTTTTGGGAGAAAACAAAGTTTCCAAACTGCTTTGGAACCTTGGGCATAAAGCATGTGAGAGTGAAGATGCCACCAAACTGCATCTCCATGTATTTCAGCTATAAAAATGCTTTTCACGTTTCCTGCAAGGATTGGTGGATGCCAATCTTTGTTTTGTTGCAATTGAGACTGTATTATGGACACCTACAGATCCCTTCAAGGAGGCCTCTGTCAGGTACAGTATAACTCAGTCCATGCCATATATAATTGTGGCTGATAAGGCATTTGGACTGGCAGAGAATCTGGTGTGGCCCTACTGTGTGGACATGGTCTTGGCTACAAATTGAAGATACTTAAAATGATATTAAAGGGTTTTTTTGTTAAATAACAAACATGTTATACTTACCATTGCACAGAACAACTCCGACCCTCCTTCTCTCTGGTCCCCAACTTCTCCTGGCTCTTCCCCTTTGACCAGTGCCCCAAAAAGCAAGCCGTTTGCTATGGGGGAACTGGTGTTTGCTCACTCCTGAGCTCCGCTCTATGCATCTATAAGACACATAGAGCCATGGCTTGGTCACAACCCCACCTCAGCCAATAAGAATCAAGACCCAAGACAGTCGAGGCTCCCTTCGCTGGATCAAGGGGGGCTGTGGGGGGATCAGAGCACAGAAGGTTTTTTACCTTCATGCATAGAATATATGAAGGTAAAAACCTTCAGCCTTTACAACCATTTTAACTATCGACTAGCTGGACAAGCCAGATGGTTGCATGCACATTCAGAATTTGCACAACAAATTGGCAAATTCAGTTGGATATTAAAAATGCCATCAAAGTGGTGCTGGCCTGTTGTGGCCTACACAATTTTATTATGGAAAAGTACAGAGTATCCTTAGCCCCTATGCCTTCCCCAAACCTGTTCATGATGTGCAGTTTAAAGACCAACATCCTAGTTATTATATCATGAACATTAGAAAACCGTTTACTGACTTCCTTGTTTGCCCAGAAGGTGAACTGACATTTCATAATGACCTAGTGTAGAGTGCTTCATTTTGGAAGCAGATCATATGATCTCCTATCCCCATATCCTGTTAATGATAAAAATGGCAGCACCTTTAAGCTGGATATCCATATACTTGGTGCTGTCTGTATAAAAAAGAGCAAGTCACTGATAGTCAGAGTGGCTTTCTCTGTAAACTGTCACTCAGACCTGAGGCATGGGGCACAAGACCCAAAGAACATGTCCTTGATGCCAGGATCCAGCAATACCTTTGGCAGTAGTGAAGTCAACATTTAAAACAGCTGCTGTCAATGGGTAGGGATTTTGTAATCAGCAGTCCCAGGAATTATACAAATCCAGGTGGTTTAATGACCTGGAACTCCACAAAATACTGAGATTTTTTCTTGTGGACTGGCTCATTAAAGACCAGTTTTTTAGGCTCATTGATACTCCATTCACTTTATTATTTTCATTATTACTATTATACAGGATTTATATAGCGCCAACAGTTTGCTCAGCACTTTACAATATAATGGGAGACAATACAGCAACAATACAGTTCAATACAAGAGGGATAGGAGGGCCCTGCTCCTCGGAGGGAGGGGGGCTAGTGGTACAAAAGGTAGTAACTGTGGAGGATGGACTGGTAGGAAGAGTAGAAGATTCCATTGTTAGTTGATGGCAGGATAGGCTTCCCTGAAGAGATAGGTTTTCAGAGATCGCCTAAAAGTGATAAATTGGGGTTGAGAATTCCAGAGGATGGGGGAAGCTCATTTATTCATCCAATGACGTACATAGCAAATTCTTGTTTTTTAAACTCCATGGCAAAGGTTCTCTTATCGCCTTGCTAATAGAAATGTTTAGTAGTATTACTAAAAGATAATCTTTTGTATGTCTCCACATCTGAGCTTAGTTCTGATACCTCTGTCATACCACAGGTGTACTTTAACCACCTCCCGCCCGCCATATAGTAATATGACAGACGCAAGGTGGTTCTCTCGTTCTGGGAGGACATTATATGACTTCCTCCCATTCTCACCGCGCATGCGTGGCTCAGGGAGCGTGCAGCGCGGCGATCGGTGGTGCGCTGTGTCCCTCGGAGACAGCAGGTCACCGATCATGGAAAGAGCCGAAGATTTCGGCTTGGTCATGTGATCAGCTGTGTCCAATCACAGCTGATCACGCGTAAACAGGGAAATGCCGGTTATCGGCATTTTTCTCCTCTCAAGCTGTCACACTGACACGCCGGTAATCGGCTTTCCGCGGAGGGGACATGTACACTGATCATCAGGGCACGGATGATCAGTGTGCCCTGATGATCAGTGTAGCCCCAGCAGCGCCACCTGTCAGTGTCCATCAGTGCCTTGTGTCAGTGCTCATCAGTGCCACATCAATGCCACATATCAGTGCCTACCAGTGCACATCAATGCCACATATCAGTGCCCATCCGAGCTGCCTTTCAGTGTCACCCATTAGTACCAGTCAGTGCCACCTATCAATGCCAGTCAGTGCCACCTATCAATGCTGCCAATCAGTGCCACCTATCAGTGCCTGTCAGTGCCGCCTATCAGTGCACATATGTGCCGCCTATCAGTGCCAGTCTGTGCCGCCTATCAGTGCCAGTCAGTGCTGCCTAACAGTGCCAGTCAGTGCCGCCTAACAGTGCTGTCTATCAGTGCCATGTATCAGTGCTGCCTTTCAGTGCCCGTCAGTGATGCCTGTCAATGCCCATCAGTGCCACCTACCTGTGCCTCCTCATCAGTGCCCATCAGTGCCACCTATCAGTGTCCATCAGAGCAGCCTATCAGTGCCCATTACTGCAGCCTCATTAATGCATATCAGGGAAGGAGAAAAATCACTTACTTACAAAATTTTATAACAAAAACTAAGAAAAAACTTTTTTTTTCAAAATGTTCTGAGGTTTTTGGTTTCTTTAAGAAAAAATAAAAAACCCAGAGGTGATTAAATACCACCAAAATAAAGCTCTATCTGTCAGAAAAAAAATTATAAAAATTTCATATGGGTACAGTGTTGCATGACCGCGCAATTGTCATTCTAAGTGCGACAGTGCTGAAAACTGGAAATTGGCCTGGGCAGGAAGGGGGTATAAGTGCCCTGTAGGCAAGTGGTTACAGTGTAGGAGACAAAATGGCATTTTTGAGTTTTGAACAGAGCAGGAAATTAGAATTAGAAGGATTTTAATCTCCAAAATGTTTTTACTGATGACTGGGCTCTGTAGGAGAGATTTCCTCTAACTTGCTATCACAGTGACAAAAGATCTACTAGACAGGAAGTGAGGGAAAAAAATCTGTCCCAGGGACACAGACAGCAATACAACTCTGATAGGGAGTTCTTTCCTTCCTTACTTTTTTTTTTTGTTTCTTTCTATATTGCTGTTGGAGCATTTTGCTCATTAGCCATGAGCGCGCTGGAAATTTTTGTTTTATTTATTTTCGGATGTATTCGTTCATTAAAGAATTTAATTTAGTCATATTCCTTATATTGAACCAATTCGTTTTTTGGAATTTGTTTCAAATGTTTGACGTTCATTTTGGTCCAGCTTGATTTGAAAAATTTTGCAGTTTTTCTGGAAGATTGCTATATATTCAATATCTTATCGAATTGGACGGATTCAAATCGGATTCAATATTTTCAGATGCTACTCCAACCCGCCAAGAAAAATGCCATGAGCTGATTGGACAATATCGACTGGAGTAATGTGCATCCAAAGTAACAAATTCAGATCCATTCGTTATCTGATTCCAAATTATTGAATGAATTAGCAAACTGTGCACTAATTAACAAATTCACTCAATATTGCTGCAAATCACTAAAATGTGTTCCCACATATGAGGTGGTACCAAGAAGTTTTGAGACTAGTTTTGTAACACGCCAACAGATGTCAGCACAAGACTGCACACACGGTCACAGGGACCACCGACCTTCATAAGTCAGCGTGCCAAAAGACATTGTCCTGTGTACATCAGGAATTGTGCAACTGGTGCTATTTTGACCTCATGCACTACCATGTCTGTTATTTCATTATGGACAGCAAGTTAGAACAAAGAGCAAACTTGAAATTCTGTGTAAAACTGGGCAAATCTGCCACAGAGATGTTTGACATGAATCGGCAAGTTTACACCAATGCTGCAATGAGTCGTTCCAGGTGTTTTAAGTGGTCCGCATGCTTCAAGAGAGGAAGAACATCACTGGAATACGATGAGAGATCAGGAAGACCTTGAACGAGCTCAACCCCCATAAATGCCTTCTTCCCAAATATGAAGATCCAGCTCAAAGGTCGCCGTTTTGACAACATTGTGGAGATACAGTGATTTGCCCAGTTTCACACAGAACTTCACGTTTGCTATTTGTTCTCACTTGCTGTCCATAATGAAATAGCAGACGTGGTAATGCACGTGGTCAGAATAGCACCAGTTGCACACCTCCCGTACATCCTGTACACAGGATGCTTTCTTTTGGCACACTGACTTATGAAGGTCAGCGCTTCCTGTGTGTGAAGCCTTATGCTGCCATCTGTTGGTGGGTTACAAAGCTCAAAACCTTTTGATACCACATCGTATATACCTGATAAGTATATAACCAAAAAGTGCTGCGCTACATTCATTTGTTCTTAAATTACACGTAAAGTGGTAGTGAAGTTAGTGAGCAAACTAAAGAAATGGGTCCCCCTGTGGGTTTTAGCAATAATGTACTAGTATCAGGGGCGGACTGACAACTCATGGGGTCCCTGGGCAATAGGGGATCATGGGGCCCCTGTGTCCTTGACCAAACTAAAAAAAGCCCATGAAAAATGTACCAGGGGCATCTCATGGGGACCCCTACTGACCCCGGGCCCTCGGGCAGTGCCCGAGTTTCCAAATGGTCAGACCGCCCCTGACTAGTATGCACTGCATACTAGCAAATCTTGACAGACCTACCGGGGCCAACTGATCCCTCCAGCGCTGCACTCTGGCCAGCTCCCCGGCGCTTTCATGTTTTCCCGCTTTTTTTTCTGGGTTCTTAATTTTCGGCAGCTTGATTAGCCAGGCCTGGGTGATGTCCCTTCTGCACATGCACATGGGAGTCACATCACTATGGCACAGAGAGTGGGCTATAAATATGATCTGAGCTACTCATGTGGAGCTCAAACCACATTTCTCACTGTCAGGTGTGGGGGGGGGGGGTTTATAACAGAAAAGACCTCTAAGGTCTCTTCTGTTATAAAATCCCTGCATGTGAATGATTATTCTCATTTAGACTTTACTACCACTTTAAGAACACATGAATGTAGCACAGCACTTTTTAATTATTTATTTATCATGAATATAAACTTGGTTATACATCAGTAAATTTTCAAACAAATGCTCATAAAATATCTGTACAAACATTTGTTTGAAAATTCTTTGTACATTCGATGACGTTCACTTTAACATTTGATTTTGGAATTAATGTAATTTCGCGTAGGAAAACCACATACACTGTTAGAAATGTGTTTGTTTGAGAAACATCTTTTTGACTGGACATACAGTTTCCAGATTTACCTACTGATTGTCTTTAGTGAGATTAATAGATCTGATTTCTTTCATAATATGCTATTAGGTTATCTCTTAAAACATATCAGTAACTACAAGCAATGTGCTCCTTTTCAAGTATATATATTCAGTTATTTTCTGGTCCCTGAAAATTGTCAATAGCTATTTCTAATGTTATTTATTCAGGAGACATGCTCATTGAAAAAACATTAAAAAATAACAAGCAAGAATGTTTTATTCCAAATACACAGAAGAGTCCTCTGCTCCAGTCATGCACAATGAACCTAAAAGTTACATCTTGTTGTCTGAAGCTCCTGCCTCTCCCTGGCAAACAGAATTATATTAACAAGCTGCGTACACAGACGGTGCATACCAGTATTTTGTAGAACATAATTGAAATTTTATAGTGTATGCGGATGGCGTCTCAGTATTCTATACCTATCATGGGTTTATTACACTAATCTTCTTCTTTCTTAAAAAATAAAAACTATAAAACTTTTTTGTTAATGTAAAAAGGCTTTAAAAGCATGTGTTCTTATTTTTAAAGCAATTTCAACTCAAAAAGATGTATATATATATATTGTACTGTTTATACTGTATGAGTATATAATTCTAAATGTGTTTAAAGCTAAACTACAGGTAAACAGCTAAATGCAAAAAAAAAAAAAAAAATATATATATATATATATATATATATATATATATATATATATATATATATATATATATATATATATATTTATATATATATATATATTTTATATATATTTATATATATATATATATATATATATATACTGTTTATTCAGTCTTGAGATTTACAAAGCTCAACCACACAGCACCTAACTTTTCTCTGTTGAAGTTAAAGAAGAGGTTTACTGTATTGAAAAAAACAAACATACATAATCACCTCAATGCTGCAGGTTCACTGTGATGCTGCAGCTGTCCCTGCCAGCTCTAAACCTGAGAACCGCCTGATTCTATGCTTGCTAATCATTTAGTTCTCGGCCTTCTCGGAGTGGAGAGGGGTGACTGTCACTTACTGCTCTCCACTCTGCCCCCCAGCACTCATTGGAGTTCCAGGCAGGAGAGTAGGCAGGTGCAGCTGGCTTCGGCTTTAAGCTGCATGCTGAAAGGTGTAGCTAGCTGTTAGGCTCCGTTCACAACTATGCAGTTTGCTTTTTCTCCATTTTGCTGTGCATTTTTCGCAATCATTTTGCATTTTTCTACAGGTGTTTTTGATGCATTTTTACTGCGTTTTGCATTTTTGTTCAGCTTTTTTGTTTTCTTTCTTTTTAAAGTGAAATTTTGTTATTGTTGGACAGAATAAAAATGCAAAACGTGGCAAAAACTCACTATCATGCATTTCAGCAGATTCTCCATTGAAATCTATTGTAGCAAAAATTATGCTTTTTGCTTTTAAAAAAGTACCTGACCCTTTCCAAAAATGTAGCAGATCAAAAAAGCATAGACGTGAACATGTTCCATAGGAAACCATGTTAAATGGACTGTAATGCAAAAAGCACTAAAAGATGCATTGGTGTGAGCGAAGCCTAAATCAGGCAGCTAGGTGAATCCCGAAAATATGGTTGGGATCCTTCCAGAGCCTGGAGTGGTTCTGTGACGTCAGCTGACAGCGGACTGTATTAGTTTACTTGAACACAAAGGACAGATTGCAAAAAGTGAGTAGGCCAAACCCCAAAAATTCTTCAAATATATTAATAATAAAAAGGTCTGGTCTGAGCAAGTAGGCCCTTTACAAAATAACCCAGAGAGGGTGGCTGTGGACAAATAGATGGAAAATGTATTAAAAAGCTCTGTGTATACAAAGGAGCATGGGGGTGCTCAAGTCCATAATGGGAATGATATTGACACAGCCCCAAATGATCTGCAATGGCTCAAAATTGATATGGTCCAGAAATAAGACAGAATAAATGTGAACAAAGCACCCATATGTCCTTTAAGAACTGAGGGACTCTTTAATGACTGGCATAGTA